CTGATCTCACCTCCTACACCCACCAGCCAGGCCTTTCTGCTTTTTCCACATCAGCCTCTTTGCCAGCCCTCAAGTCTGCCAACCACTCTACAGGCGCCAGACTTTCACCCCCATGCTCCTTTGGTTTGGAACACCCTTCTGGTATCACTTGGCTTGGGCTCTCCTTTCTTTCACTCTCTGTGGAAATAAAGCCCTGCTTCATTTTTCACTGCATTTATCACATATGCAGTTGCCTGCTCTGATACCGTGTAAACTTGGGTGGATTTTGGTCTGTATCGGTCACTGATATTGTCTCCAGCCTCCTAGAAAACTTCTGCACATGGTGTCTGTTCTAAGTATTCACTGAAAGAATTAAGGCTAACTCTACCCTGGATTTCCTACCTCTAAAAGTCTTTGAGTTTTAAGATATTTCAGGCTTTTGTGTTAATTAATATGAGCTAATTAACATGAGTTAGTTAACATGAATTAGTTAAGAAACTAGTAGAGCCAAACACATCTGCATTCTCTTAAATATAACTATTACTAAATTCAGTGACATCACAAATTATCTCTTCTTCCTTAGTCAAGCAGCCTCAGAATTTGTCCAACATCTCCCCTAGCCTTCTGCTGATAAAAATTAGCAAGAGTCTCCCCCTCTAAACTGGCTTTATACTTGGTATCAGGACGCGCTCTCACTCCAGATTTGTGCATTCAGATCAGTGGGATGAAGGGAGTCTGAAGGAGAATTAAGAGCATTTCTTACGGAGAGAAAACAGCAGCGTCTCCCAGCAGGGCAGGAAGAGCCTCATCAAAGGTTGGGTGAGACCACGTCAAGCACTAAAGGAAGCTGGGTCACAGGTCACATTTGAGGTTCAGGGTACTCCAGTTCCCCAAATGCACCCATTTCCTCTTCTTTTCAGCGATTTCTAATCAATAAACAAGAGAGACCTGGAGAGGCTATGTAGGTGTTGCAACTTGGCAAAGCAGAGTGAAATTAGAGTTGGCTTGTTGCCTCTGGGGAGAAGGGGGCACTGGAAGTGAAGGTGGTTTGCAAAGAGGTCTTTTGTATAATGTTTAATTTTTTTTAATTCCGGTATTTTTGTATGAAGAAAATTCATTTCCAAATTATAGTGTAAGTAGTATGAAACCACTCTAACAATACTTTGGTCTCAAATCCACTTTACTTCTATCCAAATACACAGGGTAAAATCTAGACAGTTTCTGAATCATGCGCAATAAGGAATACACAGGAGAGTGCAGAATCAAAAATGAAAGGTGCGAACCCAAACTAGTGTCATCAGGGAATACCGCACAGAAGAGAGAAGTAGTCGGGATGATAGCAAAAGAAACCAACTGTTTCTCAGAGATTAGAGGAGAACCCAAGCTTAACTGTCCTCCCCTGTGAGCACAGAGAAAGGCTGCCCTCGGGCACTTGCATAGTGCAGATTCTAGGGAAAACTTAAGACAGCTGAGGTTCAGTTGTTTACCTGAGCATGGACTAACAGCCTATTGGAAAGCAGGTGAATCTTGTGTTAAGTTGATTGCTTGTGCCCGTGTTTGGGTGAATAAAGGCAAGAGGAGGCAGGTGCTTCTCTTCCCACTAAGAGCCATAGAGCTTCCAGGAATGCCTTCCTGTTAATCTGGCTCCGCTTCTTTGTTATTCGTCCTTCTCTGCCTGCCTTGTGGGGTGGGGGGCAAAGTAGCAGATTTAGGTCCTGAAACAAAGCTAGCTGTGTGGATTGGGTGGGTTGGGTGGGACTCAGGTGGGGAAGACGCCTGGACTCGAAAAACCA